CATTCACCTATTCACACAAGCGGTTTTTTATGCTTAAATCTTTCTATCTAACACTGATAGATGCATCGGACCAACTTGGAGTTAGTATCGTGCCCATGTTTGGCATACAAACCAGCAACGTTAGGATGACTAGATGACTGCTCTCCCTCCTAAGCTACAGCCACAGTGAAGTCAGTATTAATCATTAGTTAAGCAGCAGGAAAAAAGTATAAACATATCGTTATGCTGGACGGGCTCACGGCGACAAGTAATGTCTGGAAACATCTTAACTATAGTACAGCTGCTGATAATTCATCTTATATTATTTGACTCAAATAGGGATATTGTTAATAAGTCCACGATATCTTTTACGTTCAGGCACTTCGTTGCTCTATGTAGGGATGATAGTCGTGCTGCTGATGTAATTACAGTATCTTAAAAATCTACAGGAGACCAAAATTATGGGTCTGTTAAGGTGGGTGCAAAATATAAAAAACAAAGCATTTATTAAACGCATTAAAAGGATTTATTTTATTTTTTGCCTGGCTTAGTAATTCATGATTTGGTACCATCACTACCTACAATCATTCTTTTATTGAGAATAGAGATTTATAAATCTTAGTTAAATTCATGCTTTTGCTAACATTTGTTCTACAATACATAGCCTCAGAGGACATTTTTGCCAGCAGTATTGAAATCCTGGACAATGTTTGAATATGAATATCTCAAAAAAACTATTAAAGCATCAATCTTTCAGTGGCTTCTCTCACCACAAAATTAAATCAGGATCTGTAATATGTGAGTATTGGCTAGTTAAAATGTGGAAATAAATGACTAAATAAAACCGCCCTGTAAAGTCACATATTTTAGCACACACTAATAAAATTAAACGAAATCACATTGCAGAAGACAGCTAGTGACAATTTTTGAATAGCATATAGTTGTATTACATAATAATGCAAAGACAAAAATGTAAAATACTTTTTACCATGAATTTCTTCTAAAAAGAGTTTTCAAATGGCACTTTATTTATAACTGTTTTTTTTTTTAAATATATGCATATTTTTTCATTTTCAAGACTCACTCTGAAGGCATGCACATTGCCCTGGAGATGTCTTATGCTG